CAGTCCGTTCGTCTATGTCCGTATCCGAGGCACCGGTAGCACCTTGGGACCGTCAATCTTTCTCTCAGCCGACAGTTGACCCAGCCGATCTTGATTCTGCCCTTCTTGAGCAGTTTGTGGGCCGTGTCTCTGTCTGCTTCGAACACTGCCATACAAACGTCGTGTTTATTCGGTCCGAAAATGTGGATCTTATAGTCCGCATCTTGTCCTGTTTCTCGTTTCAATGCGTTCTATACATCATTCGTGTCTGTAACACAGTCGAGGTCTAGTATCTCTAGCGTCTGTCCGTATGTCATGTCTCGTACATTACCCTCATTTCCAAGAGTAACCTGGAGTTTCTCCTGGAACTTCCGTCTTGCGTCTGCGTTACAGCGAAAACGCATGAGGAGTCCTCCGTCCTTAGTCTTTCGATATCCCGAGATACTCACTTTAGAGCCCTCGGGATTAATCTCCGTCTTTAGTCGGCGCAAGGTATCCGCGTACGTTCGTCCGTCGTTTGGCCGTACCAGTATAACGTTGGTCCCCCCCTTACGGCGAGGACCAGCCGCCCTGGGCCGGTTCTTGTCTAGTTCGGACCGTTTGTTCCCGTGGGTAGGCGTCGCCGCTGCGGATGTCGAAGCTAGTGGCCTCTCCCTCCGCGCGCCCAGCGCCACCACAGGGGTAGTCTTTTGCGTCTTCTGTTTGAGAGAAGTCGTCTCCGTCGTTTGGTCATTAGTCTTCTGTTTAGACTTCCTCTTTTTTCTGTTCGCGGAGTTCACCGTGGTCCAGCCCGACTCGTCCGCAACCCTTTGATAGGCCACGGCTTGCTCAGGGCTGGCCCCCGTGTCCTCCCTCTTTCTATTCTGTCTTTCTGTCCTCCTATCGTTTACGGACTCCAGGAGGGGATTTAGGCGGTCGCATTCACTCCATGCAATCTCCACCGCCTCCCTTATTACAACCATACCAGTCGTTATGTCCGTACTAATATTTCTCTGTATCTTAGTCCGTGCCTCCATCTTTCCGAGCGCGGCATCAATGCGCCTGAGCTGCGTGCGAAACAGCTGGAGGTTTTCTGTCATATGTCCGTTGTCATTGTCCACGTCTTTCATGTCGGCGTCAGTGTTGGAGGTCTGCATTTCGGAGCCCTCGTTTTTCCGCGCAGCTGGCACTTGTATGTGCCGTAGCGGTACCGTCACGTCTCGTGTATCATTAGTTCTTGTCGGTGTTCGTCCTGTCGTCGGTTCTTGGCCCTCAGCGGCAGAAACGTAGCTCACCCCGCTGCCGCCGCTTGACCCACTGTCCGTCCTCTGTCGTCTCGGTATGTTCAGTAGGTTCGTGTCGTTTTTTCCTGTCTTTCTCCCCATTCCCGTGCACAAAGTACGGCCCTCAAAATCCGTGCCGCTGCCCGTGGCCACCGGGGCTTTCACCCGATCGGAACCCGGGGTGGATTCCTCCTGAAAAGGAGTTACCACTTGAGGTACATCAATGTTTTCATTGTGCATATTCATGTTGTTGGTTTTGTCCCGTTGTGCTGAAGGTCTCTCGTGGTCGCGACTCCACGAACCGCGCTGGGACAACGCACGGCCCCTGAGGTCCCCCCCCTGTATGTATACCCTGTGTGTTCAGTGTTCCCCCCTGTGGTGTGTGCGTGTATGTGAGTGCCCATAGGCGAAACCGGGCTTCATTCACGGGGAGAGTCCGTTTAGAGATATCCCCTTCTCTCGCTTTCGGGCGGCTTCGTTTATAGGAGTTCCCGACCATTCGCTTTTCGGTAAGACCCGTTTATAGGGTCACCGAGCATTCACTTCTCCGGTTTGCCAGAAGGCGTGTGTGTGTGAATGTTTGCGTAGTGTGTGTGTGTGTATGTGTATAAGTGATTAATGGTTGGACACATCGGCAGAATACCATTATCTTTTGCGTCATTTGTGATTATTATTATTATTATTATTATTATTATTATTATTATTATTATTATTATTATTAACCTCACCCTTGCCCCGGTGGGATAGGAGGGGTGTTGACCGCACCCCACGTATAATACCTTACCTGAACGTAGAATTTCCCGCTCTTTCCGAATCTGAGATCAAAATTATAGGTTCTTATTCAAAAAATAACTTTGACCTTCAAATGACCTTGCAAATAATTCTAAGGTCAAATCCGATTTCTGGGAAAGGTGTCCTTTCATTGTCTCAAACAACTTTTGTCTGAACAATTTTTTTAGAACGACAACCGTAGAAAATTTTGGGGTGGTTCCTTTAAAATGGGACACCCTGTATTAGCGCTTGGGCCCTATACAAGCTGCGTAGCTAATATACACAATAAAAACTATCTGTGGTACTAGTGAGTGGTTCTAATGGTAAAGCATTGGCCTGCGGATTCACAGGACGCGGGTTCGATCCCCCGACCTGTCCGTTCGTTTTTTTCAATTATAATAAAGCTTTCTTTCGCTACGTAATTTAATAATATAATTCATTATGTCATTTAACAATATAAATAATTATTAAATAAATATAATTTCAATTATTATATCTAAAAATTTAACATACACACACACATACACAATGAACTGAAAGTGTGGAACATAGAACGAACAGGCATCAGCTTAGGAAGCACATCATCTCAAAAGGGGAGAGGGAGGTTAGTTTTCAGTGTCGAAGTCAAAATGCAATGGCATTAGCTCAGGAGGTATCTGCTCACTGAGCTAATGTCCTCCCTAAGCTAAGGCCTTTCTAGTTTACCAACTTCTCTATCTCTCTATCTCTCTTTCTCCTTGCTAACGAAAATTTTTGGGCCATTTTGGCTGATCATCGGCAAACATCGACAGCTGAATCACAGGACCTATAGTTAGACGCATTTTTACAATGTGTCCGACATCGGCCACTATCCTTTGCCGAGAGTAGAGGAGAAAAAAAAAAGGATGACGAGATACAAGCTATCCTTATCACAGTTGAATAACTTTTATTTGAGACGTTAATAATGAAATTTTTATTTTATCATTTCTATTATTTATTTTATCATCGTATCTGGGACATAAACAGAATGCGAATACTTACCTTTAGGTCAATTAAAACATTGAGGCCTGATAAACATATAAGATTATTTTGAGTTTGATTTTTTCCTGAAAATAATTTGTAGAGGATTAGTCTTTCTCAACAAGCTAAATAAAAAAATATAATTTTCATAGAAATAATATTAATAATTTTACCATAAACTTTGTAACGGTGAATTCCGGCCGTACCCGTCTGGGTTGGTCGCGACCGTCCGCACAAGTTATTTATTCGGGGATTCGGGAAGCAAAAGACGTTCCCACGACTGAATAACGCGTCGAGCATAAACACGTTAAACGCACAGATTCGAAGTCGGGATGAGGAGTGATACAGCGGCGAATAAACACAACAGCGGATTAATACACTAGTCGTTTAATTGTCAACAATCAATTACAATACGGCGACCTCGGACTTATACACTACGAGCGGCACAATAACAAACGCGAACACGAAAGTGAATCGGTGGCTGATCAGCCTGCCTATTCCCTTGTAAAAACTAAATATTATAACAATATATGCCTGACAAACACTTTCCGCCGATAGTCTATCAACGGGTAGCCAGCAGATCTGCCGTGCTACCAGCCATAAGCTGGCGCCCAAACATGCAAGAGAGAGAGACATGAGAAAAACATGGCACCGACCTCGACCTTCAGCCTTTCCGATAGCTAGAGCGCTCTGCACCGTGACGTCACTGGTGTGCTCCTCGTTGGCCGTCTCGCTGGTATTTTCTTTTGTCGTCGCTATCTTCCTCCTTCTCGTCCTCTCGTTTGCTCCACAATACTGCTGTTGTCTTCGCCGCCTCCTTATCGTTCGGTACCGCAGCACGTCCAGGCTGCTCGCGCGCGCACCCGCGCACCTCGCCGGTTACCCACACGCACCGGTGCCGGGTATACTTCGGGATATGGCTGGGCGCGACCCAGCCTTACGCTCCACTACTCGTCCGCGCACCGCGCGTGTCTCCGAAACGAATGATCGTCGACGAAGTCGCGAGGCCAACTTGGAAAAACCGTAACCGTCGGTTTTATCCGCGCGCGCGACTTCCTCTGCTTATCGCTTAGCAGAGACTCTCCGAATTTTTCGCGGCGATCCGCAATTCGAGCGTTCTCTCTCTCTCTCTCTCTCTCTCTCTCTCTATCTCTCTTCTTCTGCGCCATCTGCATCGCTCCAGTCGTCAGCTTAGCCCGTGTTCAGCACCTCGCAAACAAAAGGTCCAAGCATGAGTGTGTGTACCAAACGCACACACTCTCAGCCTGGCGCGGCGCACGGACATTTGCGAGAGCCAAACGGACGAGATCGGCCTACCCGAGATTCTCCGTCACAACTTGAAAGATCTAATAAACTCACAAATGAAATGGGCCATTTGAAAATAGAGTTACCTTATCTTTTCGGATCCGAGGTTAAAAATGAAGTTTTGAGTAAGAAATATTTACGTAGTTGACCTTCAGAAATAAGCCCAGACCCCATACGTTATACATCATCAGGACGTAAAATATTCCGCTCGTTTCAAATCTGGGATCATAAATAGGGATTGTTTTAAAAAAATTAAATGAGTGTTATGATTTTTACTATGTTCGAGTAAAATTATAACATTTTTTCTGAGCTTTTGAGGCTTTATGGCGACTTTATGGATAAAATTTGAGTAATGTTCTCAATATTTGCTATATAAAAGGTGATATCATATTTAATCCTAAAGATTTTGGGTATGGTTTAATATTGTTAACCCGGTTTACCCTTAACTATTTGTCCTTTTCTTCTTAATTTTTTTTATAAAAAGTTTTATGATATTCTAAACCAATAAAAAGTGGGAGAAAAAAATATCAGATTAAATGTTGATAACCTGTAGATGTTGACTTATGCATGACCTAATACGTGGATGACAGATCACGCATAAGTCAATACCCTTTATTTTGATACTCCTGACATGATCTCTCTGTAGCTTATTTAGTCACAAATAAATATTCTTTAATCTTCTAGTTTGAATATAGTCAACAAAAATGGTTTGATCATCTTCAAGTTCTGATCAGAATTGTTCTTCATACATTAGAAAGACATTATCACATATGCAATCATTTACCATCAGCTATAATAACGCCACAATTACCATCATATCGCAGAGGTAAGTACTTTTCTAAAAAATATTCTGGAGAGTTAGTTATATATTCAATTCTATGTTTATTTTATAACATATGATATTTGAAATTAATTTAAAACAAATTTCTATAATGAATAATGATATAGTTTAGTTTCTTTTTAAACTGAAAATTATTTGATTAATAGACCTTGAATTCATAATCTCGCACCTTATCATAGTCGTACTTATGCATCCAACCGTAACTGCACCAATTACAGTTATTAATAGTACAAAATATTGACAGCAAAAAAATATGTTATCATACTAAATAAATAACATAAATTTAGTTAGTCATTAGTGTATATTATTTCCTTATAGTTGTTAATTATTGCACTTATGTTATTGCATTTTCATTCTTCATTCTTCACCAAAATTTGATAAGATTTTATCTCGCAGTGTTGTAGTACCTTTGATGCTTTTCTATTTCTTGTAAATAAAATTCTTTCTGTTGAGTTAAGTTTTGCCGGGCAAGTGAGCCTAACAGCACAATTTAGCCTGTAATGAGGGAGTATATTTTGGTGTTGGTGGATGGAATCACACTTACATTCTAAACTAAAACTACGTAGTCTAAAACTATTACATCTTTATCATTCGGTTAACATTTTAAGGAATAAACTGTGTTGTTAAAAATTTGTTTTCCTTTTCTACCTTTATCAAAGTACAAAAGAGCTCTATTATTTTTTATGTAGTTAATATCCCCATAGGTTATCCCATGACAGTTTGTATAATGTATACTGTAATGGTTTCTCAGGGGCTATGGTTTCTCGCAAGCTATGATTGAGACATTTTATCTTTTTGGTATTATCTTCTGCCATTTTATCTATTAGGTCAAACATAGTTTCAATAAGTCTGTACTTACAAATATTTGCATTAGTAGTAGATTCTGGTATAGTAAGAATAAATTCAATGAATTAGATGTGTGTAATGGCCAATTGCTCGTGAGATCTTTTATAATGTAGATTATAAAAGGTAGAATGCTCAATATCATGAAAAAATTTATTTATTTCTTGTTTGAAATGATTACAAATGAATTTATACTCTATATTCAGCTTCACAGTTAGGAATTGAATTATATCCATGTTTTTAATTTTATTTTTCTGGTATTTTTATTTCCAAGCATATTGAAATCGTTACATAGTTTATTAAAGAGATATATGGCTCTAATATAATTGTTTTCATTATTTACACTACCATCCGAAAGTTTGAGCTCACCTAAAAAAGAAAAGGGAAATCTTAAAAGTTCGATATCTCAGGAACTAAACATGGTAGAAGACTTTACTTTAGCTCATTTTTAAGCGCTTCGAAAGTCATGTTTACAGATTTTTTGTACGATCCACTCAGTTTATTCTGCTCATGTCTGAAAAAGTTGAAATTTCGAAACATTTTTATTCCACTTCAACTTATTATATGTTAGCCGGAAGATATCGTATCTTTAAAAAACTAATTCTATCACAAAGTAAGATGTAAAAGCTTCAAAATGAGCTGAGGAACGTTCTTTTAAGTCCATTTTTCAAGTTATAGGTATTTTTGTGAAGAATAGCGAATTTTCTACATTGAAGTTTATTTCCATAATTATCCACCGTACAGAAAAATGATACTCAGAGAATATGTTCAATTTTCAAAAGAGAATCGAATAATAAAATCCAAAATTCATGAAAAGAACTGTTATTTTTTACTATTCTAGCTAGCTCTGTTTAAATCATGAAAAATTGTACAGGAGTATTATATACAAATAGTATAAGTATCTATTGTGAATAGAATGAAATGAATAAGTATATTTGAAGTTTTCATCATAATATTCTAACAGAAATTAACGAATCATAAATATTTATAAGAATACGTCGATAGAATCAGTTTTATACAAAAAATATAACAGAAACTTAAGTAAATTAGATCACTCAAACTATAATAGTCACTCATAACGCTACAACACATTCTCTTTATTTTTCAGTCTTAACTCATTCAGTCACTAGTCACTTTATTTAAAATCTTGGTTACATCAAAGTATCCGCCATGAACTCTTATTATAGCTTTGCGAATGCGCGGCAATCTATCAATTAATTTTTGCAATACATCTTCTCCAAAACGGCTCCATTCTTCTTTTAATGATTCCCATAGCTCATTTTTATTCCGTAATCTTTTGCTCCTAATGCTTCTATCCAAATGATCCTATAAATACTTGATAGGATTACAGTTAGGACTCTGAGAAGGCCACTCCATGATCTGAAGGCTTTTTTATTTTTCTTTTGACCTTAAATAATTCATACTAAATTTCGATGTATGCTTCTGATTATTGTCTTGTTGCATTACAAAATTTGTACTAACAAGACGATTACCCGATGGAATCGCATGGTATTGTAAGATTTTATGATACACACTTTTATCCATTATGCCATTTATTTTAATAAGGTCGCCAACTAACGTTCCAGCAAAACAGCTCCAAACCATTACAGAACCTCCTCCGTGCTTAGCAGTTGGAATTATACAATTTTCACTCATTTTTTAATGAATTTGGCTTTGTACATAAACATGGCGCTTCGAAAATAATAATTCGAATTTTGACTCTTCAGTGAAGAGAACTGTCTTCCAATCTTCCGGTGCCCAATTCTTATATTTTTTTGCCTAGACCAATCTTTTTTTCTTATTAACTATCCTCAAAAGAGGTTTTTTAGTAGCCATCCGCCCATTCAAGCCAGCATCACGAAGACGGCGTTTAATTGTAGTAACTGTCACAGTTTGTATATTATCAGTTTCAATAATCTCACTACGTATATCTTGCACAGTTTTGAAACGATTTCGTTTACACCTCAGAATAATATGCTGATCTTGTTGTAAAGTTGTTTTACGAGGCCGACCTACGCGCTTACGATCTTTCATGCAATATCCTTGCTTGTATTGATCTACTGTATATTTAACACCACTATAGGAATTATTAAATGTTTCGGCAATATTTCGATACGAAAATCCACTTTTTGTAATGCAAGGATAGCTGATCGTGTTGTTGCAGGAAGTTCTGATTTTCGACTCATCTTAAAGATAGTATTCCGAGTATTGTACGAGATGTTTATTTCGTTTTGGAAATGTAGATAATTTCAAACATATCTGGATAATACTTAGTTGAATTTCTAAATAAAATAAACAAAGTCACACGTAGCGGTCAACGTATTAAACGTATATTGTATTCCTTACACATGTCCTAAGAATAGAAATATTATGACAAACGGAAGATTTTGATATTTGAAGATTACATTTTCAGTCATATTATTATTTAATTCGGTTCTTATCAAATACGCGTTCTATATATACATAATACTCCTGTACGATTTTTCATGATTTAGACAGGGCTGGCTAGAATAGTAAAAAAAGAAATTTCTTTTCATGTATTTTGGATTTTATTATTTGATTTTCATTTGAAAATGGAATATATTCTCTGAGTATCATTTTTCTGTACGGTGGATAATTACGGAAATAACTTCAATGTAGAAAATTCGCTATTCTTCACAAAAATACCTATAACTTGAAAAATGGACTTAAAAGAACATTCCTTAGCTCATTTTGAAGCTTTTACATCTTACTTTGTGATAGAATTAGTTTTTTAAAGATACGATATCTTCCGGCTAACATATAATAAGTTGAAGTGGAATGAAAATGTTTCGAAATTTCGACTTTTTCAGACATGAGCAGAATAAACTGAGTGGATCGTACAAAAAATCTGTAAACATGACTTTCGAAGTACTTAGCAAGCGCTTAAAAATGAGCTAAAGTAAAGTCTTCTACCATGTTTAGTTCCTGAGATATCGAACTTTTCAGATTTCCCTTTTCTTTTCTAGGTGAGCTCAAACTTTCGGATGGTAGTGTACGTATTTGTTTCAACCTTTTTGGTAATTCCAAGCTAAAGTTTTCTTTTTTTTTTAATTGTTTCTATATGTTCCAAGAAAAAAGTTTAATCAGTATTTAGTGGATTTTTATCTGTTATAAATTTATACTTATTAACTATTTTAATTAATCTCGTTTTTAGATTTTGAATACTTTTTATTATACCAAAATACGCTTCACTCTAAGCTATTATATCACAGATAGTGACACTATAGAATAAAGCATAGTATATCATTTTTCATGTCTCTGTGTTCATTAATCGTGATAATTTATAGAAAGTGTAAGTTAGGTATTTTTTTATATAAATTAAGTAGATGTAGATCCCATTTCATTTTACTGTCTATAGTAATACCTAGATATTTAATGCTATCGACCCTGTTTATTTTTTTACTATTTATTACAATGTTTATGTTTTTTGGTTTATTGTTGATATTCTTACCAAATTCGATGGAAGCTATTTTGTTTATGTTAAGTGATAATTTGTTCAAAGTAAGCCAGTTTCTCACAACATTTAATTGGTTATTCATTTTATCTTTTATCTCATCCAACGTCTTACCTGTTGCGATTATGGTTGTTCTATCAGCGTTTGCATTGTAATTAATATATCGTTTTATATAAGATGAAAAACAGTGGCCCAAGTATTGCCCCTTGTGGTACTTCTATGTTCATTGTTTTTATATGACTATGTATTTGTGATGTTCGTATCACTTATAAATAAAATAATTCGAACTCTCGTAATCTAGCTAATGAGTAAGAATTTGTTTCCAATGATTTTACTCTAATTGTCAATAAAATAGATAAGTAAATCAAATGTAATTGATAAGTAAATCAAAAATACATAAATAAGTGCAATATTTCGAGGAAAGTCAGACAATGCCCTAGTTTCTTATGGTGCGAATTGTCCCATAAGCAGAGCTAAAGTCTTTCTTTGATAGGATATAATTCGGCCCAAGTTTCTTAAAGCGCGAGATGTTCTATAAGTCGAGCTCAAATTATAAAGGAAGGACAGTCTTGCTCAGTTAATTACAATGAGAGAAAGAACTTAGGTATAATCCAAGTTTATTCAGACTCATGCGCTCACCTTGGTAAATAGGTAAATAGGTGGGCCT